TTTTTTTTTTTTTTTAAATTCTAACCAGGCATGTGCCCCTACTTAGACTTCCTGGTAATCTCTCCTCTCTCTTTTTACCATTCCTCATTTTAATACTACCATCTTCCTCCCATGCTGCACTCAAACACATGCACGTTTACCTTTCGATCTTAACCCAATAAACTAGCAATTCTTCCATCCTAAGATAAAGAACATCCATCTGTAAATTGAAGTTAAGAAAGCAGTACACACTTTCATGTATTCTATTTATCCCAACTTTTGTAGATATTAAGCACCAATTCTGTTTTGCATTTGAGATTGGGACCTGCCTTCTGTTAATCATGTGTTAAAAGAAACTCACTAATGAAAAATGTTGGGAATTTTGTGAATATTTTCAAGTAGTATAGGTAGTGTTTTTCCTTTACCACATAATAAAAACCTGCTGGTAGATATGAGAGAAAAATTGCAGGAGTAGCCCTAAATCAGCTTTCTTAGAAAAGGATGGACCTAAAAAGGGTGGTAAACCAGGGAGAGTTTAGCTAAAATGGTAATTGACTAGAACCTTAATCCCAAACTGCTAAATAATCTGCCCCCAAGTTTTGTTAGAGGCTTGCAAATGTTTGATTGGGCGTTAAATGCTTTGCATGAGGGGTTCTGAGTTGCTGTGGTGTTAAACCCCATGAAAAGGGTTGTCATGAATTTACTGTCCAGTTTAAACAAAATTGTAAATAACTTCAGGGACCTAGCCTCTACTTCATTTCAAACGTGCAAATTCCTTCTTCAAAGAGAAGTAAGGTAAGACTTTCAAGTTAAGGCCAACCAAGATTTTTTTAAAAAAAAAAAAAAAGGAGACAGCAGAAAAGAATGATGAACCTGAAATTTTCAGCCTTCAGTCAGCAGAAGCATCACATCTTATTTCTAATAGCCTTAACAGCTCTATGTGCCTAGTAATCAGGTATTTCTCAGAAAAGAATCTTGAAGTTTGTGGTTTAAAATCCAAATCTTCTCATGAAGCTGAAAACTAACCCAATTCTGTATGTTCCTACCTTAAACTGTGAACAGTTGATAAGAGTAAACACAGTATTCACATATGCATTTGTGGTTCATTTTCTTTTGTTTGCTGAGTTTCCAGAGGGTGACAGCAGCTGTAAGGGGCCTAATAGAGTATCTTCATGGGTTAAAAATGAAAATTACAGACAGATAATCATCTCTGGTATATGGTTTCACAAGCATGTGCAGCATGTAGATTTTTAAAAAAGAAGCATATGGAAGTGTACACGAATAAGATCAAAATCGAGTTTCATTTCTTTCTGTCAGGAGTCAATCTTCTCTTGAGACAGCTGAGTCTTCTCTAAGTTGTTTTCAGGATACTTGTCCACATTTTGATCTTGTAATATTTTTCCTACCATTAGACACGAAAGGATTGTCCTAAAGTAGAGGATACATACTATTTCTGCATCAGATAGAACACAAAATGATTCACATGCAATTGCTTCTCCCAGTATTGAACTTGCTTTCCTGAATATCATATTCCTGTTGCTTTGTTACACAGAAAACCTCTTTTCATACAACTCTTTTCTTCCAAGACAAATCGTGGTCTCATGCCACTCAACTCACCTACCAAATTTTCAAGTTCAAATCTATATACATCTTAGGTAGATAAATGAAATGATGGTTAGCTTCCAACCTCCTTTTTTTTCACAACTTTTACAAGTACAGATTTTAAAAAACATTCAGAAGATATTTTTTCACATTGCAATCCACTTTGAAAGCCATCAGAAATAAATAGACTCATCTGTCAAACACCATCTTAGAGATTTTCTAAGACAATGCCGATTATGGACTGAAAAAGATAAATTCCTGTGCCTACGTATGAAGAAGCTAAAGGTTTCTGTTCACAGGAAAGCCGCATGCCCTTACATGACTAAATATATCTATATTTATTTACTTTTAAAAATTAAAAGTGCCTGAAAAAAGAATCTGATGAGAAATGATGAAAGTTGCAGAAACTCATGAGGAAAAAATGTATTTGGATACTCAAGATGGTCTTGATTTTACCCTGAGAATTTTCCACAATAGTTTTGTATCTATGTATTGGAGCTCCAGAACTGGTAGTTCCAAACAGCCCCTGCCTGATGGGCTGCCTGGGACTTCATGAATTCCGAAGCCCCAGGGGTACAGTGCTGTTTCACAGAATTTGTGACAAACAAACACAGTTCTTTCTTTTCTAGGTGGTGCAGTGATGCTGCTGGTTTATGAATACACCTATTCATGGCTGCAAGAGAACTGGTGACTGCCTCCCAAGCATTTTCCCCTTGAGATAATGGGTATTTGCTCTGCAACCCCATGAAGAGGAAAGACTACGGATCAGCTAAACTAGGCATACGATTATGAAGGGGAAAACAGCTTGTTCAAGAACAAAGCCTATTTTGAGACGTTAGGAATTATCTTTAGGCAACTTGAAATGACAATTTGGGTCATATACATAAAGCTGTGGAAAAAATAGTATGAAATAATGAGATATATAAGTTGACTATTAAAATTGCATAGGAATCAGTTATGTTTTATAAAAGCAAAATGAGTTTCATCACTTATGTTCCTCTTATACTACTTCATAATGAAAATTCATTATAATGATAATTGTTTTAACTAAGAGGCCTAGAAATGCTTAAGTTCTTGAAAGTAAATTCTTCTGTGGCTATTTTGAGAAAAACTGGGTGAAAAAAATAGTTAAAGTTTTTATAAGGAGTTAACTTTTTCCACTAGTAATATTTAAAGAACAGAAGGAGAATATTTTCAAGGTGCATTAAAATGGCTTTTTAAGAATGTTTAATTTCATGAATGTTATTAAAATGTAAATCTGTTATCTAGTTCTAGTTTCCTAAATCTACTTTATATTTTACATGGTTGATAAAGTAGATATATTTTAAGTCATGCTATCTGATGTATTTTACTACTAATGGAATACATGAAATTAAACTACTTTGAAGACAAGTTTTGTCACTGAAATATTAATGTTAATCACAAATTGGAAGCACTCTTTGGACCAATTTGTGCTGTCTGTAATTGCATCCAAATATCCTCGTACAGAACTCCTACCTATGTCATTCTTAAGAAGAATGTAAAGCAGGATGTAGGGGCATACACTTGTAATCCCAGTGACTTGGGAAGTTGAACAGGAGGATCCCAACTTTGAGGCCTGCCTCAGTAACCTTGTCTCAAGATAAAAAGCAAAAAGAATTGGGGGTGTATCTCAGTGGTAGAGCAACCCTGGCTTCAATCTGAAGTACTGGGTGGAGGGGAAAAAAGAATGTAGAGGTGGAGTATGTGGCTCAGTGATAAAGCACTTGCCTAGCATGTACCCATATACCAGATCCTGGGTTCTATCCCTAGCACAGGGAAAAAAAAGTGTAGAGTAAAACTACATTTCCAGGTAGTTAGTTTTAAGTGACAGCTTCAGGTGTAAAGTTTATTGTCTATAATACTAAAATATGTATGAAAGAAAAAATATTTCAAAATAGAAGTACATTCTTAGCATTTCCAAGCATTCTTGTACTAACATGCACTCTAAAAAAATAGCTCTTTGGTCTTGATATAACCAAAGTTGATTTTATTTCTTCATCCTGAAATGATGCTACTTCAGTAATGAGTCAACAAAAATATCTGCATGTTCTAGATGAAACCTGTTATGAACTTCTACTATGGGATATTTCTACTAAGTAACTCTTCTACCAAAGCATTCTGAAAATAAAAAGTAAAGATAGCAGAGTAATTATTAGTTTTTATTAATTTAGAGCATTTGAAGTATAAAAATAAAAGGCTTTTTAACATACTGTATATACACACACAGCCTTCTGTTGTACATCCTTTCCAAGGTGATTTTTTAAATTTATATTTCAGCCCAATATTCAATAAGTGGGTCATTAAAAACAGAAAACCAAGAGAAACAAGAATGTGTCTATGTTGCACAGCTGCATTCTATCCTTGCAGGTAATACTCTTGCATACTGTGAGAGAGCACTATATGCACAGAGGCCATGAAATTAAATATTTAACCCTGCCTTGTGGACAAAATGGAAAAGGATTTCCAAAGAGTGCATTTGCCAATTTAATATCAACCCTTCACCCTCTAAGAAACAGAGGAAATGTTAACATTAAATAATAAGAATCATGTTTAAAAATTAAATAGTCCTAATCCCATATCCCATTCCATTTTCCTTCTCAAGAGTTTTTAAAGTGGCTTCAAATAATAATTTACTTTGAATAGCAAATTGTATTTGGACTTTCTGTTGTCTTTTTAAAATTATTCCATTGGAATTTATGGTTGCTAAAAACAAAAAAAGATGAAGGAAGAGAAATGAAAACTTTGATATCACTAATATTAGATTTTTTAAAATAAAGGATCCAGAAAATCATAAATAACAATAACAAGAGATTAATTTAGATAAAGAAAATAACATTTAGTTTTGTTTCCATACAACATTTGATATTTTTTAAAAGATGCTTAGTAGCCACCTAAAAACATTTGATAGAAAATAATTCTGTGCTTTTTTTGTCAGTTTTGCTGGACATCAGGTGAGACCTTGTATGGTATGGTTTTAAAGTCTCCACCAAAATATTGGATAGGATCATTGTTCCATTTGGTTTATAGTCTATTTTCTCACCAGACTAGGAACTCCAGATGTCAATTGGAGTTTTACAAGATCAAAGGAAGACTATGGCCCTGAGAGTTCATCTGCTCTTTCTGCTTATTCTTCTCAGAAGTTGTAATCCTCTGTTTGTAGCACTAGACTTCAGTTGCTTTAGAAATAAATGCAGTTCAAAGCTCTCTATAAGTTATCTGCTGCTTGCAAAAAAGCAGTTCCTAGAACATTACTTGTATGTCAGAAATCTGCTTAGTGTTTACAACCTAGTGATTTGAAAAACTAACTGATCTAGCCATCTAAGTATTAAAGGAAGCCATGAAATCTATGAGGCAGAACTGGATTGCCATGTCGCTGTGCACAGCACAGATATGAAGAAGTTGAAATCACTCAATGAATGCATCTTTAACATCCATATCTAATGAGGTGCCCTTTTAGTTATTGCACAGAATTAATACCAAAAAAGCCCACAATATATTAATTTTCCAATAGATGAGTTGTACCAATGTTCTAAAAATGTATTTTAAAGCCTATATTGCCAAGCAGGAATAATTTCCTAAACAGAAGGTATAAGAACTGTAAAATTGTACCAAAGAAAAATCAATTGTTTCAAAATACAACACATAATCACATGCTCACACACACATATATCCCACAGCTCTATTATTAACATTAAAGTGAAAAAGAAATTGGTCTAGTAAGATTTGTCAGTTAATCTGCATCCTATAATTCCAGAAATGAATAAAGGGAATTCATTAAAATTAAATAGCATTTGTATTTCTAATACCACCACCAATTTACGTACATGTGAAACATGTTCTGTACAACAATGTAAACTTCACAGCAAGCCATTGTTACATTCATTAGAGCAGAATTTTCCATTTTCTTTAAGGTACAACATAATTTTGGGCTGTGATTGCTGAACACACAGGTAAGCCAACAATAACAGTACAATTTAGTTTCACAGTGGTTTTCTTAACATAAAGTTCATTTTAAGTGTCTTTGTAAAACATTTCACATTAAACTTGTTTCTAAGTGACTTCCTTTAGAGCCTTTCTCATTCAGATATTTTCCACCCCCTTATCTTTATATGCTTGGCATGTGTGTTGTTTGACTAGAATACAAAATGGGAGACTAGCTTGTTTTATCTGTTTTTTGAGTCCTCTGCTGTAGAAAGAAAGTGTCCTTCATGATGCTGAAGCCTTCACTGCCCACACAAAATTTGGGGGCAAGTTGAGGTCCAGGAGCCCAAGAAGCCCACCACCAAACAAAGACAGAGACGTTGCCAGAAAGTCACCTTTGCAAAAAAGAAAGAAAAACAAAATAGAGAGGAGATAGGTTTGGGGAGAGGGGGATATCCCATGGAATGAAGACACAAATGCACCACCCAGAGTCCATATTTACAAACTAATAGAAAATATAAACATTACTGTATTTGGAACCAAGACAAAACACCAGGAGCTAAATTCAGAAATTGCTTGTGTTCTACATATTTATCAACAAAATAGGTTATCTCTTAAAAATAAACAAAGGATCACTCAAACAAGTCAATTATTGATTGGTTTCCTAATGGTAAATTAAGGCTTACTTGGTCACCTTATTTGATTAGAGGGTGTAGCATAACTTTCTTTTCTACATGTGTTTTTCTTTATTGATTTTGCAAAATCTCAACAATTGCACATTTCAAAAGTTCAGGTTGATTTAGAATAAATATACATGTGTGGTTTTACCAAAGACTAGTTTAAAAGTTCCTTAAGCCCTTTGAGGGGTGTAGATTTCTTCACTACGTTAAAACAGTGTGTGGGCAACACAAAAGTCTCATTCAATCCTTAACGTTGCTTTTGTTTTTAAATCCTAAGTCGTGTCAGGTTTTCTGCAAGAAAGAGGTTATGGCAAGAAATATTTAAGTGTCATCAGCACAAAGGATTCGAGTCTGTAAAGCCAGCTCTCCAGGCAAGAAGGGTGGAAGGCAGGAGGGGTGGGATGTGAAACCTGGGAAAGTGGGGAGGATGTGCTGAGAAGGGGAGACCCGAGAGCAGCTGCTGGAGACGGAATTTCTCATCAGAGTGCAGAAGCGGTGACAGAATGACTACCTTCTCTGGCTGCCTGCATTCCCTTGAAGGCCAGCGATGCCGGAATGTCACAGTTGTGGGGGGACAGTGGGGTGCCACCCGCATGTTGCCACCCATGTCCAGCAACGTAACCAGAAGGAGCAGCACTGTAGGTCATGTAAGGTGACACTTGGGCTGGGGTGGGGTAAGGAGCCATGCTGGATGCTGACACAAAACTGCTCACAGCTGGGAGACCGTTTGGTGCCTAAGAGAAAAAGAGATGAAACATAATCACATTTTTTGTAACCCACAGGTTCTTAGAAAGAAGCAAAATATAAATTCTGAGCAAGCTAACAATATTATTACTATACTTTTTGAAGCATTTTTTTTTAGATCTGATCTGAATTAAATTCTAAAGGCACTCAAATAAATGCTACTTAAATAAATGAGGCTGAAAAGCAAGATATTATTCTTTCCACAAAAGTGTTAAGGAAGCTACAATCAGAAAGTTCACACTATTTGCTTTTGCAGCTTGGAAATGTAGGAAGGAGAAGCAGGGCAAAGAAAGAATTAATGTTGATTAAATACTCTCAGAAATCTGTTCAGCTGTCCACACTGCCTTTGTCAACTATCCCAATGCCTTGGTTTTGTTTGGTTCTTTTGTTGAGGCATTTGTGACTGGCCTGGTTGGTATAGCTTTCATTTCCAGTAAAAAAAAAAAAGGCACAGAGTATGGGCTGTCACATTAGAAATACAAAATTAGCAAGACTTTATTTCCTTTCTGATAAAATTTTGGAAGAAAATAAATAAAAACATGGGCCATATTTTAAGACATCAAGTTGAAAATGCTGGTTGGACAAAAGACACATAAAATCACATGTTTTGTCTTGCAAGTGTTTTGTTTGTTTGTTTGTTTAATGAACACTGGGATTTTTTTTCCAAAATTTTATCAGAAAGGAAATTGTCTAGCCAAATACAAATTAATTGCATATGCATGGCTTTAAAATTGGAAATTTTGCTTGAAAATGTTTTGTGCTCAATAGTATGAGTTTTTAAAACCCATATGAACAAATCTCTTGAAATTAACTTAGATCTTTGTTTGAAAAAAAAAAAATCTTTGTTTGCAAACAAAATGCAACAGCCCTGGCAGGCAAGCCTGCCTAGAAACCAGTGCTCTTCTGGCACCCAATAAATTATTGTTGGTATCGTTACTATTAACAACACCAAAAACACCCTGATTTCTAATCCTACTTCTGGCATGAACACTCGGCACTCTTCTTCAAGTAGCTTATTTTTTTTTCTCCTCTATTTCTACACTATTTAGAGATAAATAATGAAGCCTATTTCCTGGTCATGACATGAATGGGCTAACACATTAACATATTTCCTAGTGGAAATATAAGTAAATATGAGAATTCAATTAGAAAACTCAATTTAATTCTTAAATAAATCAGACATGTCTTAGTTATTTTATCCAATTCAATTATAAAACAGAAATTGTTGTTTTTTATATTTTCCTTTTTTTTCAGCACTGGGATTGAACCTAGGGCCTTGCACTGCTAAGCATGAGCTCTTACCATTCAGCTTCATCACTCGCCCTGGAAATTGTTTTATATTTAATTTACTTGGCTCTTATTTTCATTTTTACACCTGTGGGAATGCAATGGTAGGGTCTCAAAAAGTATATTTGCAATGAAAGTGTGTGTGTGTGTGTGTGTGTGTGTGTGTGTGTGTGTGCGCGCGTGTGTGTAGTAGTAGTAGTAGAAGAAGAAGAATATATACGTGGGTGTAGTTGAGCATTTCTCATGAATTTCTGACAAAATAAGAAAAAATATATATTAACTTTGTATCTTGGGTTTGGAAGAACATACAACTTGGTGTTCTTCTACTTGTCAATGTCTACTCTTTGAAAAATGGGGGGAAAGAAAGGAAATTAAAGTTTCTTGAGTGTCTACTGTGTCTTAGGCACCAAGAAATATTCAACATATATTACAGAATTATGAGGATTAATGAATTAATCTGATAAACTGTTGGGTTTATCACAATTACAAGATAATATATTATGAATATGATATAATGTTCAATTGAAATTAAAATATATTTCAAGGGATCCCAAGAAAGATGCTGCATTTTTTTAAACAAAACACAGCATCATTAGCAAAGAAACCATTGCGTATCACCATTGGGGGAAAAAAAAAACGGATGTAGATGGAAGGATTTATCCGTTTACTCCAAGCCAAGTGGCCAGTCCATGGCCATGAATTAAAAGAATTTATCGCCCCTGTCTGATACAGGGTCTTCTGTAGTGCATCATGCTGGTTTTTTACTGGAAAATTAGAAGACAGATCCAATTAATATCAAACTAGACTGTCTTTTGAGATAACATTTAGTAAAAGATTCTTTCCTCTTCTAGAACTCAATTCTCATTGTTAGATTCTTTTTTTTTTTTTGCTTTTTAAAAAAAATCCTTTTTTCTCCATTTTGAGAATGACTAATTATATCTCAAATGGCTAATTTTATCTCACATTAAGGTTCTCAGAAAATGAACATCAAGATAGTTATCAATCCAGCATTTCACAGAGATTATAGTTTTAATCACTTTTCTTCAGAGTTTCCCCAATAATCTGAAAGAAATTTACGTTTAGAATGGGATCATTCCAGTAGAATTACAGAAAGATGTTCACATCAGTACTTGGCCTTCTCCTAGGGATAATTACTATTTAATACTATTGATCAGTGTGCACCTAGAAAAGTAAAATAAGAATGTTAAGACCTGGGAATACAGCTCAGTGGTAGAAAGCATGCTTGGCTTGTAAAGACCCTGCATTTCATCCCAAGACACTGACCCTGGAATATAAACCATGCTGAATATGACTTTCATCTTAGATAATGCTACTGGAACTTAGGGAAAGCAAAACATCAGACTTAGGCCTTACCTTCAGGTACCTTACTTATTCCATGACTATATTCATTTATCAAGCAAAAAAAAAAATACTACCATTTTATACCTTTATGTCCAATTTCTCATTCTTAGCATACCAAACTTCCTTTATGTTATTATTCTACTAGTATTAAACACTTCAAAGTTCTCTAAAATCTACAATCTTTATTTAGTGTCACTTTATTGATAGAATCCCCTCTGTATTACAGAAAGGGTAGAAAGAAAAGCTCAAAAAGGGGTGATTTCTTCTTGCTTAGTGTTTGCTTTAAAAAAATCAACCTTAGTATAAAAGCAGCAGTATAAAAATAATAACCATAGCTTTTCCTTGGGTTAAATAATGACCTAGATTAGGGGAGGTCTTAACTTTTCATTTTACTTTTGAAGTTCAGATTTAGAAATTTAGAAAAAAATGAGTAAGCAAGAGAGAACAACTGGCTTCAAAATGTACCTGCCTCCTGCCACCTACACTATTCATTCATTCGAATGACTCAATAAACACATCAATTTTCTCACTATTAATTTTGAAACATGACATTAGTAAAAGATATAAATCTCTACTGGGTAAAGTAATTGTTATTTATGAAGCAATCACTGAAAGAGTAAAATTTTCCACTGCAAAGGAAACAACTACAGGTAGCATTGATGTTTGTTTATTCTTTCGAGTAAAAGAGTACACGACTTAAACTCCCCAAATCTGTTTAATGTTTTCATTGAAGGGCATGTAATTAATCTGAAAAGCTAGCTAGCTGAGCACACTACCAAATGTACACCATAAATATAGTGGGAGCAAACATGCTAAATTACTCTATTTAATTGGATTGTAAATATGATTTATAAATCAACCAACATATGGAATCCCCAGGGAAGAGTAAACAAATTTTCCAAATGAAACTTCAGCAATGGGCATGTAATGGAAATCTCATTTTTGAAAATGACTTTGCCTAAATATTTAATAAATAAGACTTCAATCCATCAATTCATTTTTCGTGTAGATCTTCTATGGGAACCTTGAGAATTCCTTACTCTGAAGGACTATGCAAGGGCCTTCCCTATAGCATATTATCTTCTGCCTAATTTTGAAAATAAGATTTACTAATACAAAGAAAAACAGACCAAAATGCATACCCTGGAAAAAATAAGTTATTTTCTTTGTGGAGTATTTTTAGGAAAAGACAACTTTCATCACACAGACATTACGGGAAACAGTCTAAAACAATATTTAAAATGAAATGTAGTTCTGGTTATGGTTATCAGAGAAGAATGAAAGCATGAACTTTCATTTCACCTGTTCTAAAATATGAGAGAAGTAGATTTTTCAGTTTTTAAAAAGTAGTTTTGATGAACATGTTGAAAAGCTATGTCAGCAGAGGGCTAGATTAGAACCTGTTCAAAGACGGGGACTTGCCTTAATTACCTTGTATCCCCATAAAATAGAACACATCTTAGACATTTTCTAAACTCAAGTTACTATAGGTTTGTGAAAGCAAAAGATGTGGTAGTTTAAGGACAAAACAAAAAGCTAGGTACCCTTTATCACAGAGCTAACATTACACTTTAAACAAAATGAATAAAGTTGTTAAAAAAGTAAACAAAATTTCTAAACTACAGATTTCATTATTGGATTTATGATTATTCCATTTTTTCCTCTTTTCCTTCCAAGAAAATGGAATTGTAGTAGTATCCAAATACTTGTGACCATAGGGAGAGGGGACTGTTATGATAACTGGCAATTAGAGCTTATAGTTTATTTTTCAAATTTGGGGAATTGTCCGCTCAACATATTCTCTCTTGAAGAAAACACAAATTACAGTGCCAGAATCTCTAGCCCAATCTATCATCCACTTATCAGCACTGGTCGTCTCCTTCTCATAAAATATATTTACCTTGGCTTTATGTTAAAGTATATTTAGCCACAATGAAGTTGTACTTCACCTAGAATTTCAATATTGATATCATAATCAAGAAAAAGTTTCATATCTGCAAAAAAGCAAGATGCTTTTTTTTAAAATCATTTTCCTAACTATTGTTCTTCCCTTGTTAATTCATTATGTAATGACCTACTAAAACAAACCTGATAAAATGAAATGATGGTTACGAATATGGTTTTAACATTCACCCACAAGGATCTTAATTATGTTTAGTTATCACACTGCAGAGCTAAATGTCTCCAGGTAGTGGGAAGCTGCTGCACAGTACTTAAAAAGTTTCCAAATTTTAATTCTAATTTTTCTAAAATGTTATTAAAATTGGTATAGCCTTCAACAGCTTTTTTTTAAAAAGTTTCATTTTGTGTTTTGTTGACACATAATAATTGTACAATTGATGGGGTGCAGTGTGGTATTTGGATACATGCATACATCATGTAATAATCAAATCATGGTTTTTAGAATATCCACTGCCTCAAGCATTTATTATCATTTCCTGGGTAAGAACATTAAGAACCTTTTCTTTGAGTTATTTTGAATATTTTGAATAAGCTTAAAATTTCTTAATTATCCTTTTGATTAAAACTAATACTAGTTTTAAAGTTAGCCAGGTCAAATAATATTTTTCATAATAGATAATATTATCAATTTCAAACACTCTTTATTGGTATTTGTCTAAGATTTCATTCTGTATAAAATTATAAATTATTTAACAAAAGTTAACTTTATTTGAAATGAAGAAAATTCAGTATAACTTCACTTCTACCTTCATGAGAACTATGTGTTCCCAAGGACAGCTAGTTTTTAAAATAATGCACTAGAAAATTACATTCAGGATTCTGAGTACTATCTTCAATTCAAAGACAATTCAAAGACAATTTTCGCAAACTGAATGCTTTTTGAAAATTTCAGATCATGTCTTTAAATTTAACTGTTCTCACAACATATTTAATTCTGAACTTTTAGAAATTCAAGCATTTATAGACTATTCTCTATTTCTGATATCTCAATTTGTAATTGGTGTTATATTAAAGCTACTGAGTTAACATATGCAACCCCAAAATGAAGAAACTGAAAACTTGTAAATCTACCATTCAGATTACTTTAAAGGACCAGATAAGCAATAATTTTTTCTGAGAAAGTATATTCATTTGTAGAAAAGAACAATATAGTTACTTATAAACTGTTTGAATAAAACAAGGCATTAATTCGACAAGTTCCATGTAAAAGGGCATATATAGTCCAACCTCTTGTTTGTCTCTTTAATGTTCTTTTGCCATTTGATTATATTCAATAGCAGTTTTATGCTTTTAACAGAACAGAATCAGACATTAGGACCAGGGAACATTGTTGCCATTCAGAATTGGCTGAGATTAAAATGTCCAGCTCAATATTAAATGTAGGTGGAAAAGCTAAAAGAAGTAAATATTCTATCTTCAGAGATACTCAATAAAGTCTTCTGAATAATAATATGTCAATTAGGGTGTAGTGTTAATGTGTAAGAGAAAATTTTAATATTCTAAACTAATTTTTTAAAACAAAAGATATGTATATAGTTGCACAGTCCTCTTTCTATCTTTCCATGTAACTTAAAAACTGTAGATTACAGTAATCAATAGGATCCATAATTAGTTGCCAGTTCAGCCATTTGGTAATTTTATAGGGGACTTCTGAGAAAATGTGCTCTAAGTCCTGATTCTGAATTCTCAATTTCCTCCTTTATACACTAAAATGAAACTGGTATAATATCATTTTGCATTATTTAATAACAACCATAAATGCCCTAAATTATTTTGGGCAAAAATTTTCAGCTTTTGTCAAAAACTTTCAAGTTTTGATAGTTATTCATACAGAGGGGGAAATGTTACCTGAGTTCACATTTTGGTTGGAATATAATAACATTTTGAAAGATAACAAGTAAGAGAAATGCACACACACACATATGCTATACACTTCACCTTTGCATTTTTATAAGTGAATGTTAATATATCACTTTACCCTTAATGAAGGTAAAGTCCAAAACAGATCAAAAACTGATACAACCTAAGCTTATATGCCTATGTAGCCTATTGTCAGTATTAAGCACTATTTTAATAATCATAATAGACTAGCAACTGATTTACTTTTCATATTCTGAAATTCTGTATCATTTTAATTTCCTACCTACATGACAAGGCAGAAGACAAGCATGTTACAATTCAGAACTTTTCAAATATTAGTTTGATTAAAATCATTTTTATTCTGTAAAAAAAAAAATAAAATGTGTTCTCTTAAATATTTAGAGCAATATGTGGCCACTGATTTAAATCACTTGCTTTTGTAAAACTAACTAATCAATAATAAATATGATTTCAAATTCAGTGTATAAAAGGTAATCTATTTTAGTGTTCAGAATACATAGAGTGGATTATTTGAAATCATATTTAATTTTCTCATTTTAAATTAATTGACAGTTTGGTTTTGAAATGTATCATAAATTAACCATTTCTTCAATGTAAATCAAAAGAATAAAATGATTTACAACATATGTAAGTCAAAAGAGTAAAAATGAAAATAACTATAAATGTTTTGGATTATAAGGCTGGTTTATACATAAGCTGGGTTCATCAACTACCCAGAAGAATTAGAAACTTTTAAAACCATACTTCACAATGTTATTCCAAGAAATGGTGAGCTAATAAAAAGCACTAAATACCTTTTTAAATGCTTGCTACTATGTTCAGTGTTTTGTATGCACTCTTTTTAGTGTTTGTAGCAAAATGCTTTGACTTTTTTTTTCTTTTGCTATGGGCTCTCTAAACAACGTGTATTATTTTAAATATGGCTGATTTTTAAAAGTCAATCTGTACCATTTAGAACATAGGTAATCTTTACTGAGTGCTTACTATGTGCCATATGGTTGCATCATCTCATTGAAGTCTCATAATATCTTTTGACGTTGGGACTATTATTTCTTCCTTTTAAAGATAAAGAAATGAGGGCTCTAAAAAAATTAAATAACTTGCTTAAGAAGTGGTGGTGCTAGATCAGAGCTTCTAACCATTGCACATATTTGATGAATGGTGAAATAAATGGGGCCCTTTTGTAAAAGAAAACGATAAACTTCCTTATAATATCCCATTGGCATTCTTTGCAACAGAAAGAGACTAAGGAAGAGGATTCTCCTCTTGCTATTTTCTGTGTGGTGTTTATCATGGGATAGCTGATATGCATTCTGACTCTGATTGAACGAAATCAGGGAGGGAAGAGGAAGTGGAAATGGGCTTTGTTAGAGAAAATAGTGACTAGGATCACACACACACCGGGCTGTCCCCCATGAATAAGAATAATACATTATTATTAATAATTTATTAATAATAAGTTTAACAGCTGATTTTAACCTGTAAGAAAGCATTAAACTTTGTAAGCCTTCAAAATAATCAAACAAAAACTAAGTATTTTGAGGCTTTGAAGTTGGAGTTGAGGATTAAGAAATTTGCAAACCTACAGAGGTCTGCTCAAGGACATCTCAGTCTGCCTTCAAAGTCCGGTTTTTGAGAGTTTCCAACTCTTGACTATCTTAGTGCGGAATTTAGACTCAGTCTCTTGGGGTTTCCTTGTGGTGATTCCTTAGCCTCCCCCAGGGGGAGGGGGACACAAGTGTTTTAAATTTTATTTTGGAGAGTTGGGGGTGGGACGGAGGGAAAGAAAAATTAAATGGTCCAAAGCCAGTCCGTATAATTTGAGGTTTTCTCACTAACCTCCCTCGGGAGAGGACGATGCGACCTTTAATCGGGAAATGGTAACTCTGTTAGGTTTCTCGGGTCGCCCCTCGGGTCTCTCTCGGAACCACCTTCGGGGAGCGGTCGGAGCTCCAGGTCCCGCCACAGGCGGGGTCCCCCAGGGCCGAGCGACCATCCTCCTGCGCCCCTGGCTCGGAGGCCGCGATCCATGTCGGGCGCAGTTCTGAGAACCCCAGGCTGCGAGGCCCCGGCCTTTAGGAAATTCCTTTTTTGGTTAATTCTAGCCCCTTTGCGAATAACGGAAGGGCTTCAGGCGCGGCCTGCCGGCGCTCCCCGGTCCAAACAGGCCTGAAAGCGCTTCCCAGGGCACACGCCCTGGCGAGCGCTCCTGGCCTCTGGCGGGCGCGGGTGAAGGGGTCGTGGCCTCAACTCTGCCCTCGGAGGCAGCAGCCTCTGTCCTGCCTCCATCGACTGGGATTCCGGCTAGTGGCAGCAGCAGGTCCTCAGCCTGGGTTCCTCTTGGTTAGGGCTCAGAAAGGGACCTGAGTCCTCCACCTCCCAAACCCCTCGGCGCGCGGCCCACCTGGCCAGGCCCTCGCCTCCTCACCTGGCCGTACTTGACTTCCTGCTCCAAGGCTCCCTTCTCCAGCCCGTTCACCGCGTGCGGAGCGGCAGCAGGGAAGTTGTTGCGGCCCAGGCTGCTCCACTCCTCCACCTTGGGGCTGTGGTAGGGGGAGCTGTCGCTCACTCCTGGGAAGGAGGAGAAGATGTCAAGCTGATGGCCTGCCCGCTTGCCCCCCTCCGGAGACGCGGCCGGAACCTAGCCCAGCAACCCGGGTGCTCCCGGGGGCGGGAAGAGGGTGGCCCAGAGGGTCCCTGTGGCCATCTGCGGCCTCCACCACTCACAGCCCAGGACCTAGTAAAGTTGTACTCGCCTAAGAGTAGGCCTCTCTGAGTCGTTCCACCCCTGCCTGCGTGAAGATCGTTTGGGATTTTGGTGGGTTTTGCCTTTTGTTTTCAAGCAGCCCTGGATTTCCCTCCTCCTTTCCGTGGAAGAAATTGAGAATTTTCCCGAATGAACCTCATAGAAAGAACCTGTGAGGTTGAATACCTTTTTTCTTTAACCTGGGGCGAACTGGAGGGAGGTGGCAAAGATCTGAGATTGTGGCAGTTTGAAAATGGAGAGAGGAGTGCCCTGACCTGAGGTACCTGGCTTGGTGTTCAGAGACATCTAGAAAAGTGCTCAGTGCATTGTGGGGATCTGGTACTTATGTCAACAAATAGGGCGAAAGACCTGCAAAGTCCTTTGCAAACAAATACCTAAATGATGCACACAATACACATGCAAAATGCAAGATTTCCAACTTGTTTGAGCAAGGGACTATTCTTCTGTGCTCTCTGTACACATTAAATATATGAGGTTATATGTGTATGACTCAGAAATAAATTCTGTCGCTGACACTGTAAATAGCATTAGTGCCAGTGGCAGAAATATAGACAGTGTTTTTTTTTAAGTATAAGAGAAAATGAAATAAAAATGAAAGTAGAATCAAGTATTAAGAAAAGGGGGGAAGCCACCAGTTACCCTTTTATTTCTTGATGGAGATGCAAAGAAAATTATATAGTGTAAGGTGATTACCACAATATCGATTGTTGTGCATATTGAATTAGTGGCATCTTTAAGTGACCAAATAAAATTTTAAAGGAGATACTTAGACCACAAGTGATGTCTTTTTGTTTCCTATTTTGGAGCTAGGGATTGAAGAGTGACGTTTGACAAAGCCACCATAGCTTAATTTTAAACACTTCCATCCAAAACAGTGTTTTAAAGGGGTGATCATTTCAAAGAAATTATCATTCTGTGTTTACAGATTTGTCTGAAACCATGTTGTTCAACGCTGACATCCACAATCAACAACAATGAAAAGTTGTGCCTCTCCATGATCCTATACTTTCCTAATTGACATTTGGTCTGATTGTAGGATCCCTAGAGAAGAAAAGTTTTCTTTTCAACTCCATCAGCCTTTTTTCACTATGTCTCCCCCTTCCAAAGAAATAGATTGTGCTCCTATTTTTTGCACCAAGAGACTGTTTGGGTCCAGAACTGCCTGAGTTCTTTGCCTTTCCAGACAAAAGGCACTCGGTGGGCACAAGCCTGAAGTTATCTTAAGAAATTGAGATCCCCCTGTGAGCTTCCATTTCTGCTGATCTCACACTTTCCCATGAACAGGGGCTTCCTTTAAATGTCAGTGAGGTCAGTTTATCCTATAAATCAAGGGCAAAGTCTCTCCAACTAAAGCCCCAACTAGCTCCAAATAAGACAAAACTGGATTCCTGTAAATTCATGGTCAAAAAACAAGAAGATAAGAAATCAGGGCCCTGCTTTAATTGCTTAAAAAGGTAATTGTGCCAATGTGGTGGCAACAGCAAAAGGCAGGAAATAATTAAAGGAACTATTTCCCCCTTTCCTATTTAGTATTTTCCCCCCTCTGCACTTTTTAAACTTTATGCTGAGAAATTAAGAAGGTAGGCTATCTCTGCATTATTTAAATTCTATGTCTACCGCATTTTTACTTTCTTTTCTCCCTACCAAGAAAGAAGTTAACGCCTTTTTATTTATTTTTTAACAGCGCAGTAAAAGAAAACAAACACAGGTCTCCTGCGGAAGCCAGACTGAGCAGGAGGGCTCCGGGAATCGTTCTGACCACGCAGAAAGACCTCAGGACTCGGCAAGGTCAGGGGTGAGAAAGGAAAGGAACAGTGGGGTGGCATCGCTGAACCCGTGCAAGAACTAGATACACGTCCACTTGTTTCCCGGGGACTAGGGGACCCTAAAAGAAAGGGGCAGGCTCCGGGGAAAACAGTAGAAAGGACGGCATATAATTTTGTCTGCGTCATATGCAGTGGTATTGATGTCTCTGTTAAGGTAAAAGTGAGGTGGGGGGAGGAGAAAGGGGAACCCGGAATCAGCTAAATGCAAGTTACAAAGTTACTAGCAGTAAGCGGGACCTCCGTTTCCGAGGAAAATGAAGTGAAGCATAAGAATGAAACCAATTAGGTGACATTTGAACTTCCTGCCTGAGCGAATTTGGCCTGATTGCCTGAATCCAAGAAGAATATTACAATTTCCACAACGTAGGAGACTGCTAGCAGTCACATCTAATCCCCCAAACAAGTTGCCTGTAGCCGCATCTGCCGCCGGCAACCTTAAGTCGGCTCGGGCCTCCAGGGCTGCGCCCCAAGTGGGCCCGGGCAGCGCTCACCAAGCCAGCCAGCCCGCTGAGGCTGCCGCAGCGCGAGGGGCGGGGGAGGGTGGAAAATGCGAACCATGTGTTGGGGACGGGGGATGTTATGGGTCTGGTAGTTTGAGATGAGGCTGGAGACTGTGTGTGGCAAGGAAACGAGGGGCGTGAGTTTCAAGTTAATGAGATCAGGACACCCCCTGGGAAGTCTCCTTACGTTTCCAAAGGAAAAAAAAGCCTCAGGTGGTGGGATGGACACCGAGCCCGAGGCCGCAGACACTGGGATCCCCGCGGGGGTGCGAAGACAGGCTCTGCACGTCCTGACGCTAGGTCTCTGAGCCCTTACCTTGGTCGGTGATGGAGCGGATGCCCAGGATGTCGGTGACAGAGTGCGAAGAGGGCCAGGTGCGCGGCATGGCCACCGAGCCGGGGATGGCGGGCACCCCGGGTGGCGTGGGCACCTTGGCGGCAGCCGCCGTGATGGGACTGGGGTATGAGTAGATGTGGTTGTAGGGAAGCGCAGGCTGCGGCGCGGGCTGGTGCTGCTTGTATGAGTCGTAATGACCCTGTTGGGCCAAGTTGCCGATCTTGTTGCGCAGAATGCGACTGATGGAACTCACCGAGGGCACGTTGTACTTGTCGCACACGCCGTCCGCCAGCAGGCGGTCCCGGATCTCCCAGGCGAAGATGCCGGGGTCCCTCTGCTTGTAGGTCCGGATGTGTTTCACTACGGTGGGAGTGGTGACCCGGGGCTTGCTGCCCCCGATGGCTCCTGGCAAGATCGAGCCTGTTTCATTGTAGCGCGCCAGGATCTTGCTGACGCAGCCGTGAGAGACCCGTAGCTGGCGGCTGATGTCACACGGTCGGATGCCCAGTTGGGCCAGTTCCACAATACGAAGCCTGATGGCGTTGGGCAGCGGCCTTCCGTTCACGAACACTCCTCCCAGCTGGTTCACCTCCCCGAAAGCTGGCTCTGCAAAAGGAACACACAGCGCGCGGGGACGCGCACCCGCCGCTTGGGACAGCCGCCTGCCACTTGGACTGTGAGTGTCCGGGGACAGAACTAACGCACCCACCCCTGACTAACCACTTGTACTGTCCCCAAACCATAGGTCCCCGAACATTGCCGAACGGCCCAAAACAATCTCGGGTCGGTTGGAATCCCTTTCTCATCCCTGGTGAGGGCGGCTGCTACAGGCAAGTAATGTGGCGAGACTCAGGGCCGCTCGAGTGCTGAAGTCTCCCAAGCAGGCGGGGAAATCCGTCTTGACGCCCGAACGCGCCCCTCCTAGCCAAAAGTCCATGGGCCGCTCCTCCCCACCACCAACTCGTCACCAGCGCCGCTCCCGGAGACCCGCGCAAAGTCTAGGGGAAGCTGGAAAGTTTTTGTTTGCGTGTGTGTGCGTGTGTAAAACAAAACTTGGGTTTCCACTGGAGCTGTAGAGCTCGCCAATGCCACAGCTCCTTTCTCTTAAAATCAGAAAATGGCACCAACAGAAACCCAGTAGCCAGCGTTCGGATTGAACTGCTGTGCGTCGCTGACCCTTAGCGTGTTCCTACAACTTGTAGGAACACGAGCAAAGTCAATAAGGAGAGTGTGAGCGCTCAGTGGCGCGCGCCCTCGCACTCCCTCCCTCCCTCCCTCGCCCGCTCGCTCCCTCCCTCCCTCCCTTCTCGGTTCTGACAGCGTCCCCCGCCGCCACTCACCCATTGCTCCGAACAGTACACCAACCGGGCCCCAGTTCCACACTCCCAGAAAAAAACTTTTCTCACGGCCTCAGTGGCCCGACCTGTCGCTGCTCCGGGTTGCTGGTACCTCAGCTTCTCCCCGGGAGGAGGAGGCGAGAGTGCAAAAGGAAGGAGTAAAAGGAAGTCTGTGCCCTGATGAAAGAGGCTTGAGTTCTGCATTTCAATCTAAGCAGTAACGTGGGCTGGGCTGAGTAGGGCCGGGCGGCTCCGTCTATCACTCACTAAGGGCACACCCCCAAAGAGGAGGGTCCGAGGGCAAGCTGCGTGATGATTGGTGTCGTTCGGTGAGTGACAGCGCGGTCCGGGAAACTCCTTCCGCTGTCTTTTTCAGGCTGGCTCCGCACCTGGGTGACTAAATAGAATGAAAATGGGTATTTGACATCTTGGGGGGGGGGAGGCACAAGCAGAAAGCAAATCAGGCTGCTAAAAATGCTGAATAAGCAAATGAAAGCTTTTGGTCTGAATATGAATGACTAGGAGGGGATAGAGACCGAGGAGACCCCCTAGGTGGGAACGTTGAACACCTCAGAATGGAAGTTAAGACTCTAGGTGGGAAGCGCAGCACTGTTTACAAGGATGGGGGAGTCTTAGAATAACCGACCATGCAGGACTTTGGGGGCTGTCAGGAGGGAAGTTCTGTTACCCACCGATTCCACCTCATTCCAGACTACTCCAGGTGGCAAGAACGTAGGTGTGAGAAGGTAGGTGGGTCAGAGAGACCAGTGGGTAGCTGTGAGGCCGAGCCAGAGGTGTTAAGGCCAAGGAGGCCCCTCTTGCGGCTGACTTAGCACACTGAACTCATCCAGGAGCGCAGTGTCAACTTGGGCTCCAAGCAGAGATCTCGCCTGCGCGCAAAACAATCACACGCACACAACTTTGCTGTGTGCGGAGAACTTTACTACACGTAGCTAAAGCTGGCTCACACTCCCACGTCGACCGATCGCCAGTGCATAAGGAGCTCCCGATAAAGGCCAGCTGTCGGGGTAGAGGCCACCCCTCCGCGGTATTCAGCTATGGTGCAGGGCAGTGAGTTCCTGGTGTAAGAATTTGCCAGGGCCCTCCAAACCAGTGAGCCATAGCAAAAGGGTCTTACTTATATGTGTCAGTCTTAGTCCCAAGAAGGTTGACAACGGAGACTACATATGTATGTAATTCTGGTGACTTCTATTTAGCTATCAGGGGCCCTGGGATTCTGCCTATATTTGAATTTTCACTTTCCTTCACTCTTGTCTAAAGTGTACACTATGCTTTTTGGAGGCCAAGCTTATTAACATTTGAAGTAAAGTCTGTGAAGAATGTGAACAAAATAATAAACAAGGTGAATATTTTAAATGAATCTGTGGATTCCTACTACTTCGGATAGAGAACAATGATAGTGCTACTTGATGGTCACGACGCTCCTTCTTGTGTACACAGTATTTAAGCTGATCCTCCCACAGTCCCGAGGTATGTGTGTGGCTACACAGAGGGAAGCTGACTGGGCCCAGATGGCTAGCCAACAAATGACAAGAACCCAGGAAAAAAGTAATGATCAGCTGTGCTTCTCAGAATGAACTTTGATCTCCAGATCCTCGCACTTCTAGGATGGGGACATATTCTAAATCCGAATTTACTTAGTGTCTGAAGGATTTGAAAGATGAAGACGAATTTAAACACGTTTGATTTTTCACAATCGAGATCTTGTGAAACGTCTTAAATCTAGAAATACTTGAATTTATTCCCTTTTTGTTTGTTGGTTTCAAATGTTTAAAGTCTTCTCCAATTTTGACTTGAGAGATTTTACCCTGGTCTGTTACCCAATACCTGTTATGTGGCACCTCCTGGCGCTTTACAACAAGGAGGGCTCTCGGGAATCCAAGATTTTAAAAGTAGCTCCTTCTTAGGGATAACGTGTAAATTAATTGAGACTTTTCGACTTCAGAGCTGAGTTTACGATTTTGCCTTAGGCTTGCGCTAAGGAATGAACGGGCTCTACAACTTGACCAGGAATGCCCCCGCCCCCCTCAGACACTGGCAGTGAGTGGCGACCTCTAAACTGATTCATTGCCCCACTTCAGCGCACCCAGTGAGCGTTTTCTCACTCTTTGGGGCCGCTATACCGTTACAGGGTTCTTCAGCCTACAGGTTGGCAAGACCTGATGCCCCGTTGAGGGTCTAACACCACCAGCTGGGAATGATCCAGAGATCCATATGGTTCAGCGCTTGGGCTAGGTGGACTTAACATACAACATCCTCTTTCTCTCGGTTATCTCCTTCAGCAGCCACGCATCTCACTGGCTCACGCGCAGGTCCGCTGCCATCCACCTGCTGGAGTTGGCTATAGCTGAGCACATGTAGCCTCAGTTACCGCGAACTCCCTTAGGCACGCTTAGACAGCTTCTCACGGAGCACATCGGTTCCCGCGGTGCGGAGCTCAGCAGGCCTACCTCTTGCGGGCGGTGCAGGGTGCTAAGCGCTATCAGCTCAAAGCGCGCAAAGAGTCATTCTTTGACGCTGTGGGCCACTAAGCATCCCAGGGAAGCGGAAGCCTACATACTCAGGAGCAGAAACACAGAAGCAAACATTGGCAGCTGGATCTTAGCTGGAAGGGCTGGTGCTGAATCCTCCGAACGGGGGTCAGGGGTCGCACACTGAGTGTAGGGGCGAAATAGCTGAGCCAGAGCAACTGACCTGGAGGAGAGGAATTAGGAAGAAGGGAGAGAGAAGAGAGAGAATAGGGATACGGGACTTGGAGAAATAGCAAGGGTCACCTGGGGTCAGCGCCCCCTGGTTACTGCCCCTTCTGGACGCAGGAGATCACACAGGGATCGGAAGAATTTCGATTAAAAGGAAATTTAAGACCAAAACCAAAACACAATCAGTAAGGCCTGCAGCTGGTTCTAGCCAGGGAGAAGCCAAAAGCTTTTCCCTAGGCGCTGTCGAGGCCTTCTCCGAGGAGTAACCCCTTCTCTGGGTAAATATTTATTCAATGGGAGATGGAAGCTGGCCGGGCCAGAAAGTGTGACGGAGGAGGCTAACTAGGTGGGGGGAATCCACACACTTGGCACTGATCTTACCCCGGGGTACACCCGCTGGCGGAAAGCCGGGCCCAGGACGGCTGGGCCTGGGCTTACAGGTGGGGAAGCTTTAGCCCTCAGTGCTTTTTCTCGGCTGGACTCAGCCCTGCCCCCGCGGACCCAGGCCAGATGTTGTAAAGTCTCCATAAATCAGTCAGCGGTCCCAGTGTCACGGGCCATCACCTGTGGCGCGCCCCTCCTGGCTCTAGCGGGATCTGAGGAGAGGTATGGAGACGGGGAATCTAGCTCCTTCCAAGGTCGCCCTCAAGAGACTGGCAGACAGCACCCAAGAGCTACTGAGATCATGAAGGGGTGCTGTAGATTGTGCGGGACTCGGGGAGACCTGTCCCGATCCCCAACCTGCCCGGATGTCAGCTTGCGGACGCAGGCCAGGGATTACTGCGAGTGGAAGAGTAAAGTGTATGCATGTGGCGGGAGAAGAGTCCTCCTGTTCTCAGTGGCAGTTAGGATGAGCAGAGCTGGTATAGAAGATTGCCCTCCTGCTGGGAAGAGACTGGATTCCCAGCAAAGCCAGAGGACGGCGCCGCCTCTCGCACATTGTGGGAGTTTCCAGGCACCGGAGACAGCAGGAGGACGAGGCAGTGATTTTCAGAGTACAGTGATTTCTTCCAACCATTCTGAGGGACTCTGGTTCCCTCACAGGAAAGCCATTGCTAAGGTGAACCCGGGATTGCGGTGAGGCGCGGGGCGGGGGGGGGGGAGAGTTCCGGCTTTTCTAGACCTGGGCCCACAGCGAAGGCCCTGCTTCACACGGTCAGCATCGGTTCCTCTGCCCACTGCACCTCGTAGCAACTGCTGCAACAGGGGCAGCCAGAAGCGTGCCCCGTGCCCAAGGCCTAGAAGGGGTCCACCCTAGTCCAGGCAGATCCGTGCTTGGAGCTGCGGGTCCAAAGCTGGGACCACCAAAGGGAACAAACATTAGGTGCTAAGAAGGGAGTCAGCCCGCAGGGTATTAACCATGCCCGAGTTAGGGGGAAGGATGCGGGAGGCGCCCACACACTGACCTGCGGTTCTGCACCATCCCAAGGAGAAGTTTCAGGAACCCGATGCCGAGCGCCGCGCGAAAATGCTGGAGAGTCGCCCGGCGACTGCTCAGCCTTTTTCACGGATAAGCCTCCCTGTTCAGAACCCTCTGCCTAGCTCCGCGAGGCAGCTCAAGCTGCAGCCCGAGGGTGGACTCGAGCTCTGAAATTCTTCATAGTGCTGCGGGTTCGACAGCGGCCAGCTCCGCCCGCTAAAGGCTGCGGGATCTGCGCGGCGGACTGCTAGCGCTCACCGTCCGCGTTCTTCTTCCGAGGGCAGGGGAGGGGCCTGTTGCGGCCTGAAACCCGCTTTTAATTCTCCGTCTGCCTGTTTCCGATCACCCGGGGTTGGTTTTTCTGTTTGCTCACTCCTTCTATTACAATAAAAACAATCGACATTTCTTTTCAGTTTCCCCATATTAGCGTCACTCAGTAATTGTTCTCCACCTCCTTCCCCCCTCCCGCGTTGAAGGCGAGCGGGATTGCTGGTATTTTCGCATTGGAAGGTTTCCGAGTACATAAGCAAATCTTCCCTAAAGACTTTAAAGTAAAAATAAATAACGGCCCGGGAAATTGCCGTGACCCTAACATCACTTTCCGAGCGCAAATTACACCCATTTTTCAGTTTTCAACAGTGGGATGGATTTCAGGACGACTCCGAAACCCGTGCGATATTGTTACATTTTTTTTAATTAAACCCTCAAATGAAAGAGAACATATTTTTGTGCAAGGGGCAAAACTTGCTTGCAAGATGGCATGTGAGAGCAAGGATCACATCCCGACTGGGGATAAGAGACAGGAAGGGGTTCTGAGGGGAAGCCTGGCTGAGCCTTTAGCTAGCGAAAGAAGACTTCGCCTTTCAGTTTCAGTAAAGGTTGCGGGCTCGGTCACTCCACAGCCTAGAGCTGCTGCGCTCCGGACAGTTGCAGCTGCGAGTGGGAAAAGCAGGATTGCCTATTCTTAAATCACTGCAGTTTGAGACCCTGCCCTCAAGCGTTTGTGTAAGGGCTTTGGGGCTGCCTCCTTGCAAAGACCCGATTGGCCTAAAGGCTGTCTGGAAAAAAGATAAACGCGAACCAGGCCGCGCCTCTAAGCCCTGGTCTCGGAATTCAAGTAGTGTGAAGCCTTGGGCGGGTTGTGGGAGGACACTGTGGTCCAGGTTGTGTTGAATGCAGATTTATTGCGAAGCCTAGGCTCCCTACAGGCCAGCTGTCCTCTGGTCAGGACCTGGTCGTTGCCTTCTAGGATGAAGCTCTGGGCCTGAACTGCTGACTGGAGGGACAACCTGTACTAGACCTGATTTGTGACACCCCAAAGGCCTGAATCAACCCACGGGCCCAAGTCATCATAATAGGTGCTAAAGTTCTTCCCGTTTTCAGTAACAGCAGCCACCTAGAACTTTCTCACTGCGCGTCCCCTCCCTCTAGTGCAGGTGACATGATACCCCCTCCCAAGTCACCCCGGGTCCTGTGCTGCCCATCAGCCCTCCCCTCCAAAGAGTGGACTCTGCTGTTGCACAGCCACCAAACGCGGCAAGGTGGAGAGCAATATATCCAGCTTATTCCTTCTTCTGGATCACCCTAACAGCCACGAGCTCTGCTCTGACCCCAACAGTGGAGACTAGTGCTGCTCGGCTCCTGCTATTCCCCGAAAAAAAGAGAAACATGGTCTGGGAGCAGAAGGTCAGAATAGGAGTCAAGGAAACTTTCCTGCAAGCTTTCAGCCCCCAGCCTGCTCTTTTTCTGGCGGAGGCAATTCGTTACAGCGCCACCTACAGGCGTCGGTCAGATCACGCTCCACAAGATTGAAGGGATGTTTGAGAATCTGCGGACCTTTGATAGCCCCAATTTTTTAGCTCCTCCTTTCAGTTCCCCCTGAAACTGAAACTCCCGGTTCTACACTGGATTCCAAATCTCCATACCATTCTTCATCATTCTCCAAAGTAAACCCGTGTTTACTCAATATTTACTTGATTCACCGAAAAAAAACCTGTCTTCCACTCCAGGACAAACTGGATCTTCCCCCTTCTCCAGAGACTACTCCGGGTCACTAATTGTAAGCTGTCCCTGCACTAAGGCGGGAAAGCCGGGCACTACAAAAAGGCTCTGCAATGGGAAAACGAGTGATGGACCCATTCTTCTCCCGCTCATCCCCCCCTTTGCTGAAAGCACACAACATCAAACACTCACAATAATCTCACAAAAGAGGTATTATTACCGTTCCCATTCTTCCACAGATAAAGCAGATTAAAAAGGAGCACGCGTGATCCATGGGGATCACACTATTCGTTACGCAGAATGTGTGTCTGAACTTTACTATGCCCCTCCAGACGTTGCTTTCTCCACTTTGTTACTCTGCAGGAGCAGTTTTCGAGGAAGCCCCAAGAGAAGCCCCCGTATTACAGGTGTCTGCACGGAAAGTGATCCTCTTCACATCCTGATCCTCTTCACATCTTAGAAAAGAGACACCCGCCTCAGGCCTCACCCAGAGCCTGTGCAAAGAGGACTGCACCGGGGGCCTCCTCACCTTGGCTACAGATTCGTCTCTGCGAAGGTCACAGATGACCCGAGGAGGGCGGGGAACTGGGATCAGGCTCCATAAGCTTGCACCGTCCCCTACCAGCCCGGACTACGCCAGGGCATGAAAGGGCAGTACTCAGCGACTGTGTCGGTGCAGCAGCATCCCCAGGAACGCCCTGCCTAGCAGCTAGAAAAGGGACAAAACAGGACGGGAAAGAATTCTACTCTTGGCTGCAAGCGGTTTGTTTCCCCACAAGCCCTTATGGCGCGGAGTACACTCAACTCAAGGGCGGAAAAGAAAAAAAAAAATCCACCTTTGCCTTTCTGGGGATTCATTCTGGTGTATGCCTGTGTGTGTTTCTTTTTAAGACCATTATAGTGTGAACAAAACCAGGAGGTGCCGAGATGCAATAAAATTAGAACCCTTAATTAACACTGCTAGCTGGGCCCTAGTGGCTAGGAAGTGCACGCGGTGGAGTTAGCTGCGCTCTGGCGGCAGAATCTGGGCTACGGTTGGGTTGCATTTTCCTTCCTTTGAGGTGCGTCATGGAGTCTATTTCAACTTTTTGCTGCTTTTGTTTTCCTGGATGAAACGGAGAAATAAATTATTTTATTTTAAAAAAAACCCAAATGATAAAATATTTTAGCGCTCCCTAAAGATAGCTCAAAGATACAATCCAGAAGCTGGGTAGCAAGGTCACCTTTACTGGCTTGGGAAACTTGCTTTAGCTGTGGTCCAAGTGGAATTCGTTCTGTCGTTGTCCCTTGAATACCGGATTGATGGGAGCAGTTCCCAATAGGCCAGAGGATCTGGACTGTGAAATTCAAGCTGGTGTTTTCAGGTTTCAGACAGAAACTTCCATCCAGACTAGGATCTTACTGATCACTTCTTGGCCAGGATCTCTGCAGGTTGGGAGGATTGGGCTGGATTGGAATATTCCTGCAACCTTCCACTCCAGGTACTAACTGCAGGTCTTCTTCTTCCCTGGGCTTGCCCCGTAAGAGGCTTGACAGAGTGTGCCCCTCTGGCCGCAGATTTTTTCTGTCCCAAGAGGCCCAAGGAGTACCCCCTCCTTCCCTCTGCCAGCACAACATCCCGTCTGTGTAAACAAACAAAATAACAACAACAACAAACTACCCACACTGCGACAAGAGAAAGAACTGGCTTTCCCTCTCCTCTGCAACAGCTGTCTGTCGACAAACTGTGCGTTGGAGCCCTTAGGAGACAAAGTACAAACTCCTCTCCATCTGAGTAGTTTGGGGAAATCACTGAGGGACCCAACAGTGTAATTTTCAATGGGTACACAGAAACTTAAAGAAAAGATGTAACAATGTAATAAATAGAAGCTCTCAAACGTCGTTCTTACACATCAAGAGGGATCAAATATAGAATGTACTTTCAGAGTAAACGAATGTTATGGCCAGGTTTAAAAAAAAATTGTTTCTGAGAGAGGGAAGGGAGAGCAAGAGCAAGCAAGAAAGAGCCACCTTTCTGTGATCCACTTTTCAGTAAAATGTTTTTAAAGTAACAGGAATTAACTCAATATTTTTGTGGAAAAATCAAGCAAAGTGTGCTGGTTTTGTTCACTACTTAAGTGTCCTTTGAACAGACACAAAAATTAATTTCAAAAGGTTGTTTATACAGAGAAGGAATTTGCACATCTGAAAACTACTCACACAGTTTTAAATGTGTACAGAGAAGTTAAAATGCATAGCTTAGTCACAGTATTTTTTTTTTTTTTGCAGGACATTTGATAAAAACCAGCCTAACTTGGAAGGATGGGCATAGAAGACAAAAATGAAAATGAAATTTCTTTAAAGGAGAATTTAGAAAAATGTAGAAGGGTTTTTAGACAATACTAATAACCTTTATGTTCCATTCCAATTCTTACAGTTAGAAGAGTTTTTACATATTAAAGTGTTACAGTTTGGGTTCTGTTCTTCTGCCATATCCAGCCTGTAAATTTAATGGCTGCAGAGGGAGAAGGGGGATTGCAACAACTGGGGATTAGCACCAGAAATGCTGGGCCAGTGTCCTCTGTACAATGGAGCTATATCAGTGTTGCTGCTGGACTTGACAGATTCCCATGGTAGACAGAGGAGATTGGAGGAAGAAGGCTGGCTCCATTTCCTGTAGGATTAAAACGCCAGCCCAAGACAGTGGCTGACTAGTGAACCTCTACTTAGAAGCATAGAAAGCCAAGGTCATGGCCATGAGGGACCTTTAAAAAGCCCCCTAGCACCTTCTTGCAGGACCAGAGGTGTGAATCTGATGCTCTGGCGAGCTGACAACACAAATTCCCTTAGCAGTTTTTACTGCCAGAGCGATTCCTATCCAATTCCTTTGAGACTGTCTTCTGCCCCAACACATGATTCTGTTCTTGGAGACACCCCTTTCACTAGGGGAAAAAATAATGATCCCATTACTCAATGAAAAAAAAAAAAACTTCATAATGCCACTTTAAGGCTAAAAATGTAAACCCCCTGAAAGTCAGGAAATAGAAAAGTCAAAATTCTTTTAGTCCGGTTATATCACCCTCCTGCCTCTCAGGCTATATAACGCATGGTACATTTACGAGCCTCCTAGCAAGGCCATTCCAGCAACCAGGCATTGCTGCCGCCACTGCTGGGTTTAAAGGGAAAATGTTCTAGCACCACTTGACTGGACAGATTTTTCTTTTGCAATCTGAATGTTTCATGATGACAGATTTCAGTTGTTACTTGCTGGAT